TACACCATTTAGAAACATAAATATAATGTACAAGCATTTTACAAAGGTAAAAAATCAATAAGTAAAAGGAAAACAATTGACAACAGAATAAGTAGGTAAATGCTTGGGTACATTGACACAAGATGACTATGTATTCAGATGCTTGCATCTGTATTTAAATTTACTGAATGTGACAGCTACAACAACAGACTTAAATGCCATAAGCAGCTTTTTCATTGTAGACTTTTTCAAAATGATGCATGACTCTTGGTAAAGTTGCAAAAAACAATTATAATCTTTTATTGATTCCCATGCATTCCTGGAAAATTTAACGTATAAAAGCTGTGCATAACATATCTAAGCTGAGAAATTATAAGCATATTTTTCACCTATGTCACGGCCATATTTCAAGTTTTTTCATAAAGTCTTCGTGTATTAGCAAGCTATTTGAAATTATGGATCATGGGACAGCTTTTCATTGTGTCTGACTGTTCTGTATATTGCATGACATCTACCTCTAGTCCACACCTGCTAAATGCCAGTGGGACTTCTGTTCCCCAACATATGTTTCAAAATGCTTCCCAGAGGAGGAACCACTGATGTTTAAGAACACTGCATTATAAGAGAAATAAGGAGTTCTTTACTCTGAATTACAGAGTCAATTTGGGCTAGCATTTCTCCATGACTCAACATAGGAACATTGCTCAGACTAATCAGCTTCTGTTTTGTGATTTAAATAGTACATTTTACAGAGAACATTAGTGAATTTTTTGGTTAAAGTGGCTTAAATGAACTTTCCACCTTGATTATTGAAAATCAGTGGCTTATTTGTAACATGCATTTTATAGCATTATAAGCAAAGCATTTAATTTTTGGAAGACAGAACTATAATGTTGCAGTTGTATATATAAAATATAAAAGCACAAAAATGTGTACATCTATATACACATACACAACCAAATTTGGAGATGTAATTAAACCCCAAATCATTTATATTTGGTAATATGTACATGTATTTGAGTTGTGAATATGTCTGGCCTAGAAATTAATTTCAAACAAAATTTAAGACTTGTAATATGCTAAATTAGCTACTTGTAACTAGCTACTTTCCTCATTTTGCCTAACATTAAGATAAGAATGTGCTCTTTGGTACAAGGTTTTGGCCTCTCTTAGATGTCTTCTGGACTAGGGATGGTTTTAAATTCTTTGAAATACCAACGATTTTACTAAACAGCAGTAAAAGTAAATTAAAGTATCTAGAAGGGACAGTCACTACGATTTGCCTAAAAGTCAACAAGAGGCATTTGAGATTTGCCTTCAAGATAATCTTGAAAGCACATAGCTCAGAGTTGATTATAATCGGTTGCAACGTAGGTTTCTTTAGTGTGAACTGGCCTACGTACACTTGGTAAACAGGGAAATGATGTCAGTATAATGAGGAAGTAGTGTAGTGTTGGTTTATAGGCAGTTTTCCCTAAAAAGGGGACAGATCTGTCAGTTAAAGGGGAGGATTTGGTAATCTGTGAAGATCTTACCAAAAAAACCTGAAAATCTTGCAGAAATGATTTAAAGAAATCTTTTAGTGCAAGAAATAGCTAGTTCAGTGGCCACCACACTTTGCTCTGTGTTCAAGACTCTCAGGAAGCTTAAAACCATTTACACATACACACACCCACCTACCTACCTGTCCTTGGGCTGTCATTTACCAAATGGTCGCATTCTGGTGCTACTTCAAAGAGTTTGTCCAGAATTTTACTGTTATTCTTACAAATTTGATTTATAGTGGATATAAATTTTACTGAGTCTTAAAGAGATTATGCTTTTTAATAAAAAATTGATGTTGACCATTAAGATCCAGTAAATGAGAATTTGGTAAAATGAGCTAAAAGGAGGCATCAGGGCTCGCTTAGTGCTGAATACTGTCATATTCTCATTAGCTATTCTAGATTGGGCATTATTATTTTATGGAGATTTACTTTACAGTATTCTGAGCATTAATAATTTAAAAATGGGCATAATAAAATAGAACCCCCCTTTGAGAAGCCCCATATTGTTACTTTATGGTACCATCTGGTTGTCCCTTTTTGTAGTATGCCGAGGGTTGGAAAACTGACCCATGGGCCAAATCCAGCCTCCTGCCTGTTTTTTGTAAATAAAAATTTATTTGGAACATGGTCATGCCCATTTGTTTATGTATTGTTTATACCTGCTTTTGTGACACGTAGGATCACCCACGAAGCTGAAAGTATTACTACTCTTTACAGAAAATGTATTAAGACTATGATAAACAATAGGCAGAGAACAGTAATGATCAGTATTTTATAATATTTTAAAATATATTTTTAACCAGTCCTCAGTGAGAATATCACACTTAAAAATAATTTTAGGAAAGGTAGAATCAGTGTGGCATTGTTGAATTTAAGCCAGTTTTGTGAGCCTCAGTTTCTAAGGTGATTGGATATTGTTTACTTTTGTTGGTAATCTGATGAAGTTTGCTTGCTCTGGATTCTTTAGTTCATTGAAGTTGTTAATAAGGACATGAAAAATGCAGGAATAGATTGAGGTGGATATAAAATTAGATGTGTTTTAAGACCAGAGAACAATTTATTTGTGTTAAAAAGAGGAGGACTGCTGCCTCTACAGCAGGATCAGCATTAGGTTGATGTTGGTCAATTTCTGTGGACAAAGAGAATGAATCTTTAGGTTTTTTCTGAAATTTTTACTAGGAATATATAATGACTTTTTTTTAGGATTAACATTTGAGTATTTAATTGTTTGAACATTATCACAAAGTTGTCTAGCGTTGAATGGATAGTTTTCTTTTAAAATGATTTTTTTTTTTTTTTTTTGGTGTGGAAGATTAGCCCTGAGCTAACATCTGTTGTCAATCCTCCTCTTTTTGCTGAGGAATATCAGCCCTGGGCTAATATACTTGCCCATCTTCCTCTACTTTAATTATGGGACACCGCCACAGCATGGCTTGATAAGCGGTGTGTACGTTCACCCCCAGGTTTGGAAACTGTGAACCCTGGGCTGCCGAAGCAGAGCTTCTGAACTTCACGTCTGCACTACTGGGCAGGTCCCTAAAATGATTTTTAACTTATCAATGAATATTTTAAATTTTATAGAGAAATGAAATAGTGTGATTCAGTTAAAAAATTAATCCATAGCAAACTTTACAAAACTAAGAATGTAGAGAACCTGAAGGACATAATTTATCAAGGTTGTTCCATGGATATTAAATTGTATACCCTGAAAACAGAAAATTATACCTTCCTTTTTCAAAAATAACTATGGAATGATTTAAAAATCTACTCCATCTCATTTCTTTAAAAAAAAAAAAAAAGGAACTCTCAGATCTTTTACTAGAAATGTAACAAAAACAAAAGCAATTTCTAGAAATTAAATCTCTCTAGTAAGAAACTCATGGGTTAAAACTGGGTTTTAAATTAAGCTCAAGTGCATTAAGTCTGCAGTGGAAGAATATCTAGGAAAAATAAAAACTAAATCATAGTGTATAAAAATCTTACATGGTTCAGCTTGGCTATACCCAAAGAATATAATATATACCTTGAAAAAAATATATATGTATTCATTTCTAAAGTGAAGACTAAGACACTTGAAAGACTTTTTTTAGTAGTTGATGCAGCCTAGTAAGTCGTCAGAAAGTACTGTGCTATCAGATTAAAATCTTAAAAATGAAAGTGATATTACAGATCCAAGAACTATTTCTTTTCAATGAGAAGCTAATTTCATGTCTTCTTTCAAGAATCCAGTATTGAATTCTTCTGGAAAAATGGAAGAAAAAGTAAAGATAGTGAGATGAGAAACCTTAGATCATCTTTTTGAAGAGATGTTGGAACTTGTATGATTTGTTAAGAACCGTATGGCATCCTTACAGATTCAGTTGGAATTACCGTGTGAGATTTTCAAAGACTTATTTCTAGTTCTTTTGAGATGGTGTTCAGAATGAAAGCCTTTACAGATTTTTTTTTTAACGAAGTAAACAGCTTTTGTGTTAATAAAATTGTTATTCTCGTTAGAAAATGCTTTTATGTTATTTACATGAAGGATTGCTGTTCCCTGTGAATTACATAAGTTGTATCTCTTATATTAATGTCTCACTTCTAAACACCTGCTTTTCTGGGTATATATTAATGCATGCTTCCTTTTTATTGCTTATGTAAATCTCAGTGTAACCATTTCCAGAGGTTTAAAAAAAAACTAACAATTGAAAACAGTTTCTACATGTCCCACAAACTTGCTTTTAGAACAATGCTGGCATAAGGATTTGATTTATTATAAATATAACCTAACCATGTATCAATGATGAAATTTTTTGAATGTGTTTGGAATATTTGGTGGTAAGTTTTTTGTCTCTTTCTTTAGGACTTATTGTGTGGTGTACTTTCTATTGATTAGTGCTTTAAATTCTTAGCAAATATCACTTTATTGATTTCATGTAAGTTTATTTACTATTTAGTGCTTCTAATGATTTTTTTGTGTAAAATCAGCTTGAGAATTGATTTTATCTGCTTCTGCATTTACTATGCTAACCTGAATTATAATGTACAAATTGGGAATCAGTATTGTTGTAGGGATCACAAATTGCCTTTTCTATAAACCTTTTAAACTATTATAGTCACATTGTCTATTGAAAGTAGTATTTAGATCTAAAGTCCAGATTTGCTTTTTTGTATAAATTTAGCATATATGAATGTCTGCAGTAAAAATGCTGAAAATTCATTATTGCTTAAGCAACCATAGTGTTGCTATGCAATTATGACAACTGGTAATAAAAATCTTCCCTCTTGGGTATTGCGGGGGTTGGTTCTAAGAGGCAGTTTCTTTTGTTAGATTATTTAATAGAATAATAATTATAGAAATAGTTGGAAAAACGGTAGGGTCAATAATGAAGAATTGAGAGCCTTTTTTTAAAAAATGTAAAAATATTTCACTTTCAGTATTGTATTTGCATCTCATTTTCCTGATAGATTTCTGTTTTGATTTTCTGCTGACAGGTCACATTTAGGGCAGGCAAAACATAAGGGATATAGCCCTCCTGAGAGTAGAAAATCTAATTCTAAGGCACCCAAAGTGCAGTCTAATACTACTTCTGAACTGTCAAGGGGACACCTTTCTAAAAGGTAAATCTTCACATTGCTTGTACAATTTCAAGGCAGAATTATTTGCATTTGAATCATTGAATAATATTAAAACTTACCAGGTTATCCCAAAATGTTTTGGTACCTGTTTTCATTATTCTCTGAGTGTAACTTTTAGCATTAATAGTTTATCATCTTTGCAGTGATGTTAATGCCACATGCTTGAGACAAGTGCATTTTTTTCCTCGCTTAGAGAGCTGTGAGTCTCCTTTTGCTTAACAAACCATTCTAGGCCTCTGAAATGCCGTTTTACCATTTCCTTTAGTTTTTTTATTGTCAGAATCATAGGTCAATGATTTCATAAGATCTAATTGGTAGGAGTCTTTGGAAAGAAATATAACTGTCAAGATTTGATGGTGCTGCAATATAAAAATTTCTAACCTTCATTTTGAAAGTGCATTCATTAATGCTTGTTTGTTTTAGGCTTTGATGAAGAAGTTGTGTTTGTGAAGAGAGAGCATCAATATTCTAGTTTCAGCTGGTTCTGAACTATTAAGCATTCTTTTTCTTGTAATCTTAATTCTTGTTTTGTGATTAGGAGTGTTAGTGTAAGTAATCCTTGGGCTAAAGAATTACTCTGATCTTCTGATATTTTACCACCCAAAGTCAGACCTGTCCTTTTTTTCTTTCAATTTTGAACCATTGGAAAACCTGTGTTTATTTAGTCCTAGACTTAATCAGGAAACTTTTGCACCTTTTTAAAAAAAAAAAAAACACTTATTTCCACAGATTTGAGAAGTTAAGAAGTATTATATGACAGGTTTAATGATGGCAGGCTGATATTAACTCTCTTCTTATCTAACCTCTTAGAAGCTGCAGTTCATCATCTGCTGTCATAGTCCCACAACCACAGGATCCAGACAGAGCCAATACTTCAGAAAGGCAAAAAACGGGGCAGGTGCCTAAGAAAGACAATTCTCAAGGAGTGAAACGCAGTGCTAGTCCAGACTACAACAGGACCAATTCTCCTAGCTCTGCAAAAAAACCAAAAGCACTTCAGCATACTGAATCTCCCTCAGAAACGAATAAGCCACATAGTAAGTCAAAGAAGAGACCTTTAGACCAGGAGCAACAACTGAAATCTGCACAATCGCCATCAACAAGCAAGGCTCATACCAGAAGGAGTGGGGCCACTGGTAGTTCACGGAGTCAGAAAAGAAAGAGGACAGAGAGTTCTTGTATAAAAAGTGGTTCTGTGTCTGAATCAACTGGTGCTGAAGAGAGATCTGCAAAACCTACCAAGCTGGCTTCAAAATCAGCCGCCTCAGCCAAAGCTGGGTGTAGCACCATCACTGATTCTTCTTCTGCTGCCTCTACTTCCTCCTCGTCTTCTGCTGTAGCTTCGGCCTCCTCCACTGTACCACCAGGTGCCAGGGTGAAACAAGGAAAAGACCAGAACAAGGCCAGGCATTCCCGTTCAGCATCCAGTCCCAGTCCCAGAAGAAGTAGCAGGGAAAAGGAACAGAGTAAAACTGGTGGCTCTTCAAAATTTGATTGGGCTGCTCGTTTCAGCCCTAAAGTTAGCCTTCCTAAAACAAAACTGTCTCTTCCAGGGTCTTCTAAGTCAGAGACATCAAAACCTGGACCTTCTGGATTACAGGCCAAATTAGCAAGTAAGTTTACAGAAAGATCTTTTTTTTAATTAAAGGAAATTTCTCTGGGTTTTTCAAAAGTGATTATGCTTTCAAGGTAGTCAGGTTGTTGTTCTTTTTTCCCTCAGTCTGAAGTAATCTTAGATTTATTACTGTACCTGTATCCTTACATAATAGTACATAATAATTGACACCACATTTAGTTTTATGGAGACAGTTAAGGAATGCCGCCTTCTTATGACTGTAGTCATGTGCCACATAATGTTATGTTTTGGACAACGACAGACTGCATATCTGATGGTGGTCTCATAAGATTAGTACCACATAGCCTAGGTGTGTAGTAGGCTATACCATCTAGGTTTGCAAAAGTACCCTCTATGATGTTCACACAACGACGGAATTGCTTAACAACGCATTTCTCAGCATGTATCCCGTTGTTAAGTGATGCATGACTGTATTACTAAACCGTAACGTTTTATTGCCGGTATCTTTCTTGATCCCTGCAGCATCTGGCTGCTTAAGTTGTTTCCTAATATCAGGGTGGGACATCAAGTTGGATTTTCTTCTATAGCCAGATACAAAGTTAATCTAGTTACGAGTTGCTCTTTACCATGGTCAGAGATCACATATTCTTTTTTGGTATTGTACATTCTTGATGTATGGAAACACTGAGTTAAATTATTAGAATAAATGTACCCCAGTATATATAAATTAAACCTTATTCACTTGTAATATTTTATGGCCTTTAAGGAGCTTAGTCTAAAGAATAATACCTCTTATGTTCCGCACACTGGGCTCTGGGTCCTAGGTAAATGGGAAAGAATATTGCCCTCTTGAAGCTTACAGTGGAATAGAAATGTTTGAGAATAATACATTCAAGCAAAGAAACAAACTGGATGGGAGAAAAGGATCTCGAGGCACTTTTCTTCCTCTCTCTGTTCCACAAGACTTCTTTAGGAAGCCAAATGTTCAGTCTCGTTAGAACTGGTGATGACCCTCTTCAATTACATGATTGCTGTACTGCTTAGTGTTTTTTGTTTTTTTCTTTTTTCTATTTTGAGAAACCTAAAAAGCACAAACGTAGGGAACATTATAGCACTTATCTACAATTTTCTAAGCATTTAATTTTTGTAATATTTAACCTGGAAGCTTGCTTTTTGACCATCTTTTCTCCTTTTGAGCCCTCATAGAACATTTCAGATACACATTTTGATAGGGCTAGGACTTTTTCTTGGTTATTGGAAAATTTTATGTAATATCTACTAGTATTCTTGTCAAAGTTAGGCCAATATTGAATCAGCCTAACCTCGTATTGAATCAGAGCTAACTGTTAGCTCTGTTTGGTTTAACCTTACAATCTAACTACTTTCGTTTGATTCAATATTAGCTAAACTTAGACAAGAACACTAGTAGACACTATATAAAATCTTATGTTTAACCTGTGTCATAGGGTTATTGTGAAGGTAATGTCTTTTACTCTTAGACTGTAGAACTTTGTTCTATTTGGTCTTTTACATATGCAGTGCATTTGTATAAAATCTTTTGAATTTCAAGGTATAGATACTGCATTAAGATTTAAGATTGGTATCTTGAAGTCAAAAGGAAATAAAAGGGCAAGTTAAAAAGGGACAGCCAGCTGTACATTGTTCCTGCCAAGGTTTTCTTGATAATTGGAGTTGTGTATCATCGCGTTTATACCTCTTCCTCTCTTTCTTTTTAAGCGAAGTAGAAGCAAGTGTGCGTGTGTGTGCGTGTGTGTCTCCTTCTCTGTCTCCGTTGTAGTAGCTATGTGATCGCCACAGCCACCGGGCCAGGTTGAGTTTATAGCACGTTCCATGGGATTCCCTCTTCCCCTTCTTGCCTTCCAGTCTACCTCACTTGAAGAGCTCATCTCTTTCAACTCTTATTTCTAGGAGGGTCCAGGGCCAGGTGAGAACAGATTGTTCTTGAGTGTCACGTTCTCGACTCTTTTCAGAGACCAGCTTTATTTTCTCACCAAGTCTGTTAACGTGACTCTTAAAAGAAAGCCCAACCCTAGCCAGTGGCCGGTTAGGGGTTTCCTTGGCTGTGAGGCTGCTCTCAATCAGGAAGCTCCGAGCATTCTGAGGCTGCCCCTGTGCCATAATAAGACCAGTCCAGACATTCTTTTAAACTCACTCTGCACATGGTCACAAACTGCCTTAGTAGTTATTTATTAGTAGTAATCACAAACTCACTTCATAGTTATTTTCCTCACTTTCACAAAAACTGTTTTATGGTCACTAATATTGCTTTTCCATTTTCACTGCCACTATCCTAGTTCTAAACTCTAATTATAGCTTAGGCTGTTGAAACAAGAGAAGGGAACCAGTATTTGTTTAGCATCTAATAAGTGCCAGGTACTTTACATATGTAATCTCATTTAATTTATAAGAAAAAAGAGTGCTTTATGATAGTTATTTAGGAAATTTATTCCAAGGAGGTAAAATAACTTGCCTGAGTAACGTATCTCATAAATGGCAGTGAAGATTCAAAGGTGGGGTGTGTCTGACTTGGAGGCCGTTGCTTTCTTTGCTGTGCCACTTATTTTTCACCCATATTGGTTCTCTCTGTTTTACTCTTGAAACATATTGTATCGTTAAGACCCCAGAGAAGATGAAATTTTGTTTGATCTTTATTCATCTTTAGGGACGAATACTGTTTGAACCCAGGGATTCATATACCATTTGCTACATATTTGCTGCTTTTCAAATACTAAAACATTTCAAAACAAAATAATAGCAAATATTTAATGTGTTTACAAGTGCCTGACAACTTGTAAATACTTCACATGGATCATCTCATTTCCTCCTCATCAGCCCTGTGTGACAGGTGCTGTTATTCCCATCTTAAAGATAAGGAAACGCAGGATCGTTGGTCAAGTTACTTGTTCAAGATCACAGAACTAAACTGATCGAGTCATGAGTCAAACTCAGAACTAAACTGATCGAGTCATGAGTCAAACTCAGACCGTCTGATTCCAGAAATCAGTCGTGAGAGTAGGATGCACAGGATTGAGTAGATTGGGTGAGCTGGATCCAGGAAGGCTTCTTGAGGTCAGACAGGGCAGGGTGGATTTTAGGCATGATTAAATGTGTCACTTCAGGAAAGAGTTTATCTAAGAAGCAATACTGCAATAGAATTGGCAGTAATTGGCAATTTTATTTAAGAATATAGGGGCAAAATGAGATATCTTATGGGAATCTTTGGGTTTCAAGTAATGATATTTTGGGGAGAGAAAGCTTTTAATATAGAGCTAAAAATCCTAGATTTGAATTCTAGTTCTGCTATTTATCACCTGGTGACTGTGGGAAAGTTTGTAACCTTTTCATTGAAAATGGGCATAGTAGCTATTTGAGGAATAAATGGTTATGTACTTAGTCCATAGGATGCATCACAACATTTAGGATCCACAACAGAAGTTGAGTATCTTAAGACAGAATCCATAGTTGGAGCAGCATTTTGAGAATGAAGGGTTGATAAATGCCAGCCATTGATCAGTTTAAAGTGTAGCTGTCCTTCAATTTGGAAGACCCTGATTTAAAGTTCTGTTATCTCCTGATAGCTTTCTGAAGTTGGGTGAGTCATTCAGCTATAGTTATGACAGCAACCTAATCTCAAATCTTATTTGAAAATGGTAATATTTTACTTATTCTTGTGAAGCATAAATGAAAGAACGTATGTGAAAACAACTTTGTAAAACTAAAGTTCCGTATAAACATAAAATGGTGAATTGAGACTTGTTGCCATGTATTTGAAGGGCTTTTGTGTGCATCAGGAATTTGATATATATATGTATTTTTTAACATTAATACAGGGGGCAGAGTTAGATTCAATGGGAGGAAGTTGAGAGATGGATTTCTGATTAGTATATCTCAGGGAAACAAAATCTGTAAATTGCTAGAAAATGGAGTAGATTACTTTGTGAGATAGAAAGCATTCCAAATTGGCTAGGTTATTTTCATAAACTTTTAAGATTCAGTGAAGCTGTTAAATAGAATTTGATGTGTTTCTTTCAGGTAAAGGCTCATTCTAAGATATGATTGATCAGTGAAGCTTACTGGTAAAGGAAATTTTTTTCCAAATTGTAGGAATAACAGTACTTATATGATGCTTTGTGAAAACTCATTTCTCTGGGTCAAATATTACTCAAGAAGATTCAGGATATGCATTAACCCATTGAAAGCTGTGAGAAGTCTTAACGATAACTTCTGCTTAATCCCCAGTAGTTCACAAATTTATTTGACCACCTGTTATTACCTTGGGAGACAGCAGTGGTCCGAGGAACACACTTTGAGAAATGATATAATACATTTAGTCAGGACTCTTCAGCAGGAAGACCTTTCCCAGTGTGCTGCTTCGGTAACTGTTAAGAGGCTGATGAACTAGTTCTGGTGAGGAATTAGGGCTGGCAGGAGAACTAGTGAAAGAGCCACTTTTGTGATGGGTTTCCTGGAGCCTTGTGGCTTGCCAGCTGCAACTGATCAAAGTAGCTCTGCGACAAAGGTCACCCTGTATCAGTTCGTGGAAGTCTTGAGAATACTCCAGAAAAGATAGTGTTACGTGACAAATTTTTTTTGTGTGTGTGTGAGGAAGAGTGGCCCTGAGCTAACATCTACCAATTCTCCTCTTTTTTTTACTGAGGGAGACTGGCCCTGGGCTAACATCCATGCCCATCTTCCTCTACTTTATATGGGACGCTGCCACAGCATGGCTTGACAAACGGTGCATCGGTGCGCGCCCGGGATCTGAACCGGCGAATCCCGGGCCGCCACGGCGGAGCGCACGCACTTAACCGCTTGTGCCACCAGGCCGGCCCCTTGTGACAAATTTTAATATGCATTGGGAAATTATTCTTGCTATGTGTTGTTCAACCTAAACAAACACATTCTTACACATTTGTGTAGCATAAATATAAAACCAGTGGGGCAATGTAATGATACAAATAATTTTTAAAAACATTTTTATAATATTTTAAAATATTTTTATAATTTGGCTTCAAA